CAGTTCCAAGAGATGAAGAGGCCTGGTGGCCATGTGGCCTCTGCTTCCTGGTTTATTTGTGAACTTTCATTTAGTGTGCAAAACTTTAACCTGCTGGGGAAGTAGGCACAGACCGGCAGCTCTGTGTTGTGTTGATGTCCTGTCCACTCAGCACCTGCCTCAATTCAGCTCAATGTCGAGGGCAGCGTGAAAATGCACTAAGTCATAAGTCATAGTCTAGTACCATATTGATTGTCTAGAAATGATCAGCAGTTTTATACAACGAAATTTGTAGAGGCTGGGTTGGCTCTACAAAGTAGAATGCTCTCCTAGCAGGTGTGAGGCCCTGGGTTCCCTCCCTAGCGACAGGGTGGGAGGAAGAAAAGAAATTTGTAGGTAAATATGTAGAGAAACCACTGAAGTGAATTGTAAGCACTTGCTTCTGAGGTAACTCAGGTTCAGAGGACCACTGTTTTTTATCCTAAGTGTTTTAGCACCATCTGATTTTTTAAAAAATATATTTTTAGTTGTAGATGGATACATTTATTTTGTTTACTTATTTTTTTTTAATGTGGTTCTGGGGATCAAACCCAATGCCTCACACATGGTATGCTAGCACTATACCACTGAGCCACAACCCCAGCCCTGATTTTTTTTTATATATATTTATTTTTTAGTTGGACACAATATCTTTATTAATTTATTTTTATTTGGTGCTGAGGATCGAACCTAGGGCCTCGTGTGTGTTAGGCAAATGCTCTACCACTGAGCCACAACCCTAGCCCCCAGCCCTGATTTTTTAAAACTATATATGTAAAGTAAAGTTGAAAATAAGAAAAACAAAAAGCCTACCAAATAAATAGTCTTCCACTGAGTTACTCAAAAAACCTCCCAACAGTCCTCTCTAACTAAGCATTGGATGTGTGTGTTGCCACGCAAACCTGGTGGCCACCTGCAGCACCCCACCTCATTACCCTTCCCAGGAGCTATTCTCTCTAGTGGTTATGTCCCTTGTGAATTACTGAGATAAATTGAAAAATTAACCCAAGAAAGAGGCCATTTTTAGGTACAAGTTCATTTCCACCAAAGAAACTTTGACAAATATTTTATAAACCCAAACAATTAACGTCAATATCTTTAATATCTGTAGTTGATTTTACCATCTGGATCAACATATAGTCATTTTTCTTTCTGGAAAGTTGTCACTAAATTGATGATGTACCATAATCCATAAATTTAAAATGAAGGAAATACGGATTATTTTTCTGTTTTTGTCCAGAGCCACCTCTTCCCCATAAACCACTCTGTTAACCATTAACAACAAAATGGTAGGAGGGATATTCCAGTTTCTTCTTGTTAAGGACCTCTTCTCATTTGATGGCCTGGACATTGACTGTACCTGAAATGGGCTTGCTCCTTTCAAAGGGATGGGTGAAAAATTATAGGAGCATTTGTGATTGTTTGGATCAAGAGGCTAAATACATACGTATAGTTTTACATGCCAAGGGTGGAAGCCACCAAGGCCATGCAGATAGATGAGTGGGTAAACACAGTGTGGTGTGTATCTTCAGTGCCTTGCACAAGAAGTCCCAACATATGCTACGACATGGATGGATGCACCACAAGGGCATCACCCCAAGTGAAATACGTGTCACAAAAAGACATCCAAGGAAAATGCCCATGTAATGTGGCCTGCTTTGCTTGTGAGTTGACTTGTTACAGTTATTACATGCAACTTCATCAAATTCACTATTTTAACTATTAAGAAAACTAGTGGCTATTCTGTTTGGTTTAAAATGCTAGAATTTGGAGCTGGGGTTGGGCTCAGCAGTAGAGCCTTACCTAGCACGTGTGGGGCGCTGGGTTCGATCCTCAGCACCACATAAAAATAAATAAATGAAATGAAGGTGTTGTGTCCAACTATAGCTCAAATAAATAAATAAACAAGTAAACATATATATAGTGTGTGTGTGACGTGAGGGCAAAAGTACAACACTGAGGTCCACAAGACAGTGATGTCACTCTGGTTCAGAGGCTGTGTTCCTACGAGCCTCACTGTCCACCATGCCTTTGCACATGGGCAGGGAATCATGGATGGATGGGTGAGGACTGAACAGAACTTAACTGGAGAGATGAAAGCATTCTATATAGTGATGGGTTGTGGACTACCCAGGTGTGTCCATTTGTCAAAATTATATGGGTATGTAAATTTTACCTTAAAGAAAATAACTAAAAATAACCAGAGTGGTAAGTAGGTAGAGATGGTGATGAAACAAGAAAGGCACAATTATTGCAGTTGGGTGGTGGGTGGTTTATTACACTGTTCTGTTCGCTTTGAACACATGCGTTTGAAGTTTCTGTAATAAGATTTTTTAAATTTATTTTTTAAAATATTTTTTTAGTTGTAGATGGACACAATACCTTTTTTTTAAGATAGAGAATTTTTTTAATATTTATTTTTCAGTTTTCTTTTTATGTGGTGCTGATGATCAAACCCAGCGCCCCGTTCTAGGCAGGCAAGTGTGTTACCGCTTGAGCCACATTCCCAGCCCCACAATGTCTTTATTTATCCATTTTTATGTGGTGCTGAGGATCGAACCCAGTGCCTCACACATGTAAGACAGGCGCTCTACCACTGAGCTACAGCCCCAGCCCCTAAGATTTTTTTTTTTTAAAGCAGTGTTCCATCCTGCCATATTCGAAAGATAATATTTAGAATTTGTAAATCAAGAAATGACAAAATAAACACTATTTATAAATGTTCAGGTGAATAGGAATGAAAAACAGTTTTAAAAACATCAGAATGTTTGTCTTTGGGGATCAGAACGTGCGTGTGGGGAGTGCTGGAATAGGGAAGTCTGTTTTGTTCTATAAGGCTTTGGTATTGTTTTGTTTTGAAATCTTAAGGTGTATTTCTTTGATAAGATACTGTATTCATTTTGTGGATTACCACATTATTTTCAAGGAAAATATCCATGTGATCTTACATGAATGATTAAGACATTGTTTATCCCTGATAATTTTGGCAGTATGCCCATTATTTCCATTGGCCAAAGGCAGTGTTTAAATTTGAATTTGTATTTCAGATGAGTGAGGCTAAGAAGTTTGACGGCATGTGATTTCTCCCTGTCTGTGCTCCTGCCCCCTGCAGTTTGGGTCTTTACACCATGGCCAAGAGTGATTATAAATAAGCTTCTATCATAAGTGTCCTTTATTGCAATTAGAATAAAATTCAGATTGTTAATCAAGCCTACAAACCAGGCCCTAAGTAATTTAAATGGTTGGACTTGTGCTAGGTTCTCCTGCCCCTCTCCCCCTTATCACTGTCAGCCTTGATGGCTTTCTTTGTACACCTGTAGCTCATTCAAGGCCTTTATATCTGCTGTTCCTCGTGAGACTGGCTTCTTCTTATCATTCAGGATCTGATTTAGCTCAAACTGAATTCCTGAGAGAGGCTTTCTTTAGCTGCCTAGCTAGAGTGGTTTCCTTCACCCATCCTCTGTCCAGAGCAGTGACCTCATAGTATAGTCTTCAGATAGAAGCTTGAACATCACTTAGAGGGGGTCTTGTTTGTATTTGGGAGAAATGCAGAGTCTAAGCCCCCATAGACCCACTGAAGCAAAATATTCATGTTAACAAGGCCTCCCTGGGTGACTACACTTGATCTTCCAGAGGTCCTGATGGTGAGTACACCCACACACTAGTTTGCCTGGCTACAAACACTAGTAGGCTTCTTGGTTCCTCAGGGTCATTTGGTCTTTTGTTTACCTGACTATTACTTCCCCCACTAGATTGTAAGTTCCCCAAGGGCAGCACCTTGTCCAGTGCATCCACTCCTAGTTCCCCAGCACTTCAGTGTCCGCCTGGTACACATTCAGTGAGCATTTGATGGATGAAAGAATAAATTAACATAATGGCAATTACTTTGTGTTTTTTAACATAACTATACAGTAAAAGTGTTTACAGCTCTTGGTTGTAGAACTGGGGTTATTCCTTCTCTCAACATGGTTATTCTGAAGGGGTTTCACTCAGCTTTTTTGAACATGAGTACTTTTAAACCATTAATCTTTATTTTTCAGGCAGTCTATCTTCAGAACTAAAGTTTAGGTTTTATTAGAGTGCCTCTCAACTGACAACATCAATAACTGTTTTCTTTTTGGTATTTAAAAAGCACGTTCATTCAGAGTTAAAATAACCTTCAAAGGTTTTTATCTAAAGTAAATATTAATTTGACATTTGTAACAGGTTTTATTAAACCAGAATTAATCCTTTTTAAACTAAGAACATAGCATTCTGAAAAAAAACTGTTAAATGGAAAATTTGAAATTTAACTTTAAAAAATGATGGGGCATATAATGTATCAGTTTTACCTTTGAGATATGGTTCTAGGGAAGACCTATAGTTGCTGATACTGTCCTGCATTTAAAAGTGTGTTCCTAAGATGTCTTTTTTCATACATAACCTGATAAATTTTGCCAGGAAACAGCTCTTCCATCTTCCATGGAAGACCTAAAATGGTTCAGCCATTAGCTCTCCATCCCCACCCCAGGTTTGACAATGGCTTCAGGCATCTTGGGTAGTCTCATTGGGGGTTGGGGAGTGCTCCAGCACCTAGCAGTTCAAGGATGCTGTTGAACACTCCTTCCAAAACAGCCCCTACCAGAAGGAATCCCTAGCCCAAAGGTCAGTGGTGCTGCTGACCCTGGCTCAAATTGAGAGAGGCTCCCTCCTGAAAATGACGACGACATCAAAAAAGGAATAGATAGAAATGAGCCACTTAAGAGATTCAGATGGGTATATTGGCAGTTTTAGATATGTTTCTATGCAATCCTTGTTTTTAATCAGATGCAATACTGAAAATTAGGACTGGCTCCCTCTTTGGGTAAATCACTCTGAACAAAAGATATTTAAGAATTTGGCAACTTAGTTGATTAAGAATTGGATAACATTCTCAAATAATTTTACATTTTTAAAAATAGGGAATCTCAAATATAGGGTTACTGGTTTTCCTTATTTTACAGATGGGGTCGAGGATTTGGTCTTTTGGGTTCCATTTTTGGAAAGGATGGTGTATTAAACCAGCCAAACAGTGTCTTTGGACTTATATTTTATATACTACAGTTATTACTTGGTAAGTATTTATACAGCAATACAAAAATAAGTTTGTTATGTTCACTCAGTACTTTGTGCCCTTGCCCTAAGTGTTTTATAGTAAATAAAAGCATATGTTAATGATAGAACCACTAGCTCGCTCCATATTTTTGTGTTGTGAAATGTGATTCACCAGAATTTCTACAGTGCTTACGTTGAACTCAGTGTCACTTGGTGTTTGTTTAATCATGGAGAGGCAGCATCTCATGGTGTCCCAAACCAGCTCCATTTAAGGCAGTTGTGATCCAACATTCTTCCCTGTTAACGTTTTTTCTTATTTTATTATTGACCCAGTAGCTGTTTTAAATATCCTGTATCAAGAAAGCATTAACAGTAAGCTGCACCCACACCTCCATTGCCTTCATATACCTGCTGTTTGCACTGTCTTCTGCTGTGTGCGTGTATGGTGGGGGGCTGCAGCCAGCCGTGCATGTGCCAGGCCAGCGCTCTGCTGCAGAGTACCCCAGCCCTGTCTCCTGCTTCCTCAGGTGACTCTTGATTTCCAATGCAGTGCTGCCTGTCCCCTTCGGTGTTTTGCTACTGGTGACATCTGGGTTTCATGCTTTTTATATCGTAAATACTGCTGCAGTACTCAACTTTTTTTTTTTACAGCCCTCCCTTCCTCTTGGACTCTTTTCCATAATATAAATTTCTAGGCATGGGGTTAATGGGTCAAAAGCATAGAATAGTGTTTGGATTTTAATAGATACTACCAGTTTACTTTTCCCCTAGTTGTCTGGTTTCCCTGAAGCTTCATCAGTTTTCATTTTTTAATATTTTTAAAAATTTCTAATAGTTAAATATTGTTAGCTATTATTTTAATTTTATTGTATTTAAATTTCCTTTTATTGCCTATTTAAAAATTATGGAGATCCTGATAATAGTCTGTGTTCATATTTGTTGTGAACATTTTACTCCTTTATACTTTTTATGTTTTGTGAATTTTTATTGTATAAAATTTTATAGCTGTAGATTTAGATGCATCCTTTTTTGCCTGCATTTTAATTGTTAATGTTTCATTCCGTGGTCTGCCAGGTCTTCTGTGATTTGATTCATTAAAAATACATTTAACTCTTCCATTTGAAGTAGATGTTATGAGGCAAATTGCAAATTGTGAATTTTTCTGAATGATCCTTTCATCAAGTTTGCCCAGTTCTTTATCTGTATATTTATCCTGCAAAAGTACAAAGACATTGCACAAAGATATTCATAGCAGTACAGTTTAAAATAGCAAAAATTGGAAGATGCCTAGGTGATAGGTAATGGTTGAATAAATTAGGGCACATTCCTATCAGAAAATTGTATGTATTCATTCAAGGAACAGTAGGTCTGTTTGTAAATCCTGGAAAGCTTAAGGTTACTCAGTGAAAAAAGTAAATTGTGACTTAATAAGTATAGGGTAAAATACATGTTTATATATGTGCATTTAAAAGCATAGGAAAGGGTGTGGTGGAGGGGAGAAATTTCACTTTTTAATTCCATATATTTTGTTGAATTTCTGAAGAAGAATATAAAATATAAGCCCAAATGCAAGGGAATGGTTTGTTTTCCCTTAATAGGAAAGAGCCTAAGAAAAGTCTTTGTATCAATTTTTGGAAATAAAGGTGAAATAATAAAAATTCTATATGTAATGTTAATTGGTTAGTTTTTTTTATGCATGATTCAGGTCATATGTATCATGTGTATTACTTCCATTTATGCTTTCTAAGGTCTTTAGACTCTTATGTGTTTGTAATGTCAGTGTCTATCACTGGAGGCACATTTGAAGTTATCTTGCTACTCCAGAGCACACCATCTTCACCCCCACCAAGCCATGTGAGATGCCGCATTTGAGATTTAATTTCTTCGTGGATACACATTCACATGCTTCAGAAGTTCCACTTGGCCCAGTTTCCATGGCCCTGCATCATGACTGACAGCTCATTGTTGTTCTAGAGTTTCTTTATGCATGCACAGGAAAATATAAATATATGATCTTAATTTTCCTCCCATTCTAAATATAAAAGGCAGATGCTATACATACTGTTCTACAGCTTGCCCTCCACCCCCACTTCTTTTGCTTGACTGATCTATCTTGATAATCATTGTAAGAAATAACAGTACATTGTGTCTTTATTTTATTTTTTATTTTTTTTACAGCTGGGAAATATTACATCGCTGCCCCATCATTTATTTAGAGTTATAGCACATTTTAAATTCTACTGGTAATTTCCCCCCAAGCCACAAGTACCTGGTTACATTATAACAACTTTGTAGCTACTAGCAGCATTGACATTGCATTCTTTTTGTGGTCATTTAATCAGCTTGATCCTAGCTCCCTTTGTTCTCACAAGTCTTGTTGGTAGGCTTCAGAAGAGAGAAACATGGAGAAAGTAAGAAAGTGTTCATGTTGTTCTAATGTTGTTTTATTTATCTGTGTTTCATGGTGCTGGGTATCAACCCCAGGGCCTTGAGCATGCACGGCAAGCTGTTGACCACTAACACTACAGCCCAGCCTGCCCCTGTCATTTTTAAAACTGACTTCTGTAGGTAAAATTAAGGAGACAAAATTGGTTTTTTTTTCTTTGAAATCTTACAAGTTTAGCAGAGGTCAGATGAGCAAACTTTTTCAGTAAGGAGCCAGTTTAGGCTTTCCTGGCCTCTGCAGCTACCCATCTCTAGCGYGAAAGCACCTATACTCATATAAATGAGAATGGCTGGGTTCAATAAAGCTTTATTAACAAAAGCAGGTGGCTGGCCAGATTTGCCAGTTTCTGGCACAAGTAATTGAACAGCATTTTAGTTTTGAAGAGCCTTAGTAAAGCATCATCATCCAGTTCTGACCAAGCTAAATCCCTATGGTGGAGCTTTAGCCCACGGGCATCTTCTCGTCACCTTTCTTGCTACCAGTAGTCCCCAAGGTTTGAGTCCTCACTGACTTCCTCCAGTCTGCCATCACCTCCTCTTCTTTTCTTGTTACTATTTGTTAGCCATTGGGTAAGAGGGTGGTTTAATATGCCATGCCTTCTCTGTCCTTGAAAATAAGTGCATCCACTTTTATGTTGTTACAAAATAACAGGGGAAGGTGAGTCAAGAACTCAGGCACATGTCTGTCTTGAGAGCCCTGGTGTAACACACGGCTGCCTTTGACCACATGTGGCCACCTGGCCAACTGTGGCTTCCCTTATCCACCAGTCAGCCCATTCTGAAATGTTTATCAAGACCTTTCCCCCTTCTTTAGCAGTATGTTGGCATAGTCATCTCCAATGTGGATTTTTGATAAAATTTGATCTAAAGATGAAAAGCAAATTTTAATTTCCACAGATGGGGAGCCTGCAGTGAAAGTGCTGTGGGGGTTGGGGGCCACCAAATGTGTACAGCTTGGAAGAAAAAGTTGCTGTCCTGTCCCTATAAGCATTAGGAGAGCCAGGGCTGTTGATCTTGCAGATCGGCTTCCTTGCTTCATGTAATGGTGAGATTGCATATCTTCTCTGTGTGCATATCCTCAGCTAAGACTAGCTTATGAAGCAAGCAGTGTTTCATGTGAAATGCTGTGAAACTCGCACCCCGTCTGATCAGTATTCATGCACTGCAGTGGACCTCAGGCAACCCCTGGCCTGGCAGTGGGCTCAGCCATGTCTCTCTCTTGCAGGCCTAACAGCGAGCGCAGTCGCGGCTCTGATCCTCATGACGTCCTCCATCGTGTCTGTGGTGGGGTCCGTGTACCTGGCCTACATCCTGTACTTTGTGCTGAAGGAGTTCTGCATCATCTGCGTCACCACATATGTGCTGAACTTCATCCTTCTCATCATCAACTACAAACGACTAGTTTACTTGAATGAGGCCTGGAAACGGCAGCTGCAGCCCAAGCAGGACTGACGCCCTGGCCAGCTTTTACTGACAGTCTGATGTCCCGTTCCCATTAAGTTTATTTTGCAGCAGGTTTTTGTTTTTGTTTTGTTTTTTTAAAATTCTTCACAACAGACTCTCCCTAAGAATCTTAAACTGATTTTTTAAAATACTGTAAATTAGAAGGGGCCCTAGCTATTTTCTGTGTCAATCTTCATTTTAAATATGGATACAAAAAAAAGGACACACGGAGCCAATCAAAGACAAGCTTTAACTTTACTTTGAAGATGTTTCTGAGATAATAAAACATAGCCCTAGCCCCCTTTCCTCAACTGTAAAGTGAGCAACCATTGCTAGTAATTCTTTAATGTGTATGAATTCAATTTCAGGTATAACAAATGTGATCATGACATGAAAATATTTTAGAATAGATACTGTATTAAATATTGCCATGTTTACAATATGTAATATGTTTTTAGCCGATGGATTTAAACATGTAGATTCAACTAGAATCCATTTATGTGATATTTGTAAATAAAAGTAGAAATATTGGATCCATCCCTGCAGAACTTACTGTACAGTTTAGTTGAAGAATAGCAATGAAGATTTGTGAGCTCAATGTTGGCTGGTGAAATAGTGGAAATAGTAAGCCGTGCAGAGCATCTTGTGGAAGTACTGACAGCCGTGGGTGCAGTATTGGCGGCAAAAATAATAGGGTGGTTGGTTCCCTTTCATCTCCCTGCTCTGAGAGGAAGAAACTAAATTGGAATGTTCAGGTCATATTTGTGTCTAGTATAAAACTGGATCAGTGTAACCTTACAGAATGTGTCATGTGAGCAGACCTTCATGTCAAGGCCTTCAGAACACTAATGGGAGAAAAACTGGAAGTACCAATGTGGTGTTTTTAGGTAAAGCCCTAGAAGAGTTGCATTTTCAGTGCAGATGTTTCCCTTAATATTGGTGCCAGTCAGCCAAGCAGTATTGTGACTTTGGAGTCTCCAGTGTGAGCCCCACTGCCCTGGCAGGATTGCTTCTGTAGCTGCATGTTCCCTGTTTCCTTCTACACTGATGACTGCTGGTCACTGTTGTGAGAGCCTGGGTCTGTAAAGGGTCAGTTTGCTGAACTGGGAGAAGCATTACAGGTGGAAATTTTAAAGGGGGAATGCAGTCATGTCATCACTGCTCTTTCTCATAACGACACAATGCAGTAAGAATCTTTCAAGGTGATTTTAATAAGCCCATATGAAATTGTGACAGTACACTTCTGTGGCTAACATCCTATATCAGAATGTTAAAAGTGCCTTCTGTCTTAAATCTCAAACCAAATATTTTGTTTGTGGAACCTGGGCAGGAGTGTCCTTCCTTCCTAACTGTGAAGTAGAAAACTTGCACTCTGCAGAAAGGTTCTGTGTGGTCATTTTACTCCTTAGATTGAGAAGCAGCAGTGATGTCTTTGCTTCCAATTTGATTAATCATTATGTTAAAAATAGTCAATTAGAAGAGTAACCTGAGTGCTTTATTTGCCTTCTTTTTGACTGTGGGGACAGGCTCTGCTCTAAACTAAGGTGTGTAGAGTCAGCAGTTGGTCGTTAGTTTACCACTAACTGCCATAACTGGCACACCATAGATGATCTGGCCCAAGGCAGGGGCAAAATCTGAACAGTTAATGAACTCTTAGTGGGTTTTTAACCCATTTTCTTAAAAGGTATTCAGATTTCATGGAGGCTTATGATTTCCCACGAATGTGAACATTTCAATGCCTGTCTCGTGTGTATTGTAGTTGTGTTCGTAAGCAGTTACAGAACTTCAGACAGCACTGAGTGAGTGCCCGGCGCTTTCAGAGAAGCAGGTCCTGTGTTTGAGAGCCGTACAGTGAGGTCACTGGAGCAGTCACTGGCTCTCTTTTAGTGGAAATGGTTAGCGGCTAAGACTTGTGGCACCAGGCAGCTGTGCCAACAAGTCCGTTGTGCCCAATTTTAAGCCATCTCTGATCACATTCTGTGTCCGTCAGCAAAGTAGAGTTAAAGCTTATCTTGATGCTGCATTCTGGGGAAGGTCTGCAACCCTTCGTGAGAAAGCTGCAGATGTGCAGCCTGGCCCTTCATGTTTCCCTTGCTTTCCTGCACTTTGGGGAAGCACTGTTTCAGCTATATAAAAACTGTTGCCACATTCCTATGCCCCAGTAGAATTAGGCCCTTTTTCTCACTGAGATGAAAAGGTGCTGCCTGAAGTAACAGCATTGCTGAAGTGTCAGTGTCTCCAATAAGCAGCAGAAACCCTGTTGCACTGTCAGTGTCTCAGCAAGCAGCAGAAAACCCTGTTGCATGTTACTTGGCTTTTTTTTTTTTTTTTTTTTTCTCTAGAGGAATTCAGGCTCCCTACACACCTTCTACTCCACCAAGAAGAGGGATACCATATTATAAAATTTGAAGATTGTTAGGATCTGCAGTGTTTAGATTGAATATTTAAACAATGCAGCATCATAAACCATCAATGCTGAAGGACAGACTGGGGAAAAAAAATTGGTTTTAGTAATAATTCCATGCTTTGTGTTTAAAGTGGTTTGTAACAAACAAAGCCTCTTGTTTACTTAATAGTCACAAATACTTGAGGAAATTAGTATGGTTAAAGGATGAATTCTAGGGTGTTTTGGAGGATTTCATCTGGGTGCTTGCTGTCAGTCAGGGTGAACTTCTGGAAAACTCAGGTTTAACTAGTTGTGTGCCAGAAATTATTTTTTCTTGATAAATACAGCACAGCCTCTCCTCCAGGTCCTGACTTCAGAAGAATGTCAAAAGTATTGACTATTTTCATACCAAGAAACAAAGATTCTTCATTTGGTACAAAGGATCTTTAGACCTCTTAGGTAGGATTTAGGACCAAGACCACAGTAAAATTAAAAGTATTTGCTGGCTTTTGTTTGCTTGCTTTATTTTCAAGAGACTGTATATTTTGGAAGTGCAAAGAAATCTTTAGCAGTTACTTCATGACTTTGGCAGGCACCAGCGCTTGATGCCAATGAATGATAGGCAGTCTTGTCTTAGATCAGCATTAGACAGATGCCAGTGAAGAAGCCCAGTTCTTCCTGGAATTTACTTGGGGTGATACACCTGCTCAGCAGCCCTGGTCTTCTGGGTTTCGTTCAACACACAGGCCTTGGCGAAACATCTCCATTTAGACATTTTAGGCAGCACTTATGAATCCTAATTTGTGAGAACAGCCCTTCGTAAAACTAAAGGGGCAGGGGTGGAAGTCCAGGCTACTCGATTAAACATCATTTTTTTTTTTCATTTCTTTCCTTTTTTTTTTTTTGACAAATTAGCCCAAAAAAGGTGAAATGTTTTGTTATAAATCTGTATTAAGCATGGCCTAAGGATTAGGTGTCTGATCTGTATAGTATGTTCCATCAAAAATATTTATTACTAGTGCTTTATGCTCCTGAGTAAACATTCATTTTAAATGGAGTTCACTGGGCAGAATTTCCCCTTTAATATAGATAGAAACATTCTTTATCAAAGATTGAGGACACCATTTTGCTAACTGGTAAATAAAAACAAATGTAAATATGTAAGAATGTTTATTTGTTGCACATAACTTTTTGGTATAAAATAAATGTAGAAGTTATCTGTGGAAACCGGCTGCCCTCGTTCTTACACTACAGGATTAAATTTTTTTTAAGAGAAGCTGAATGAAGTCTTTTTTTTTTTTAAGTTGTAGATGGACACAATAACTTTATTTTATTTATTTATTTTTATGCAGTGCTGAGGATCAAACCCAGTGCCTCACATGTGCAAGGCAAGCGCTCTACTGAGCCACAACCCCAGCCCCTGAATGAAATCTTTTTTTAGATTCAGTAGGAACCTTTAAAGTGTGCTTGAAGTGATGCTGCATGTGATCTCATCTCTACAGGTACACTGATCTGATATCAATTTCCCATGGACTCTAGGTCTTAGGATTCCTGTGGGTTTGTGCTGTATGTGGCTCTCAAGAATTAATGACCAAAGGTGCTGGCTGCTTAGAGTTCTACTGATGTAGGATGTTTAAGCAGATGTTGTACATGGTTTTCCTGGAGCTCACCCAGATGCTCCATCTGACGGTCCTCTGAAGAGGGAACACCTACAAGATAACGAATCCATTTGAAGTAGAGCTTGGCCATGCTTCACTGAAAGAACAGACCTATCATGTGCTAGACCATAAGGGCTCAAGAATTGGACCCTGTCCCTAATTTGTAAAACATTTATGTGCCTGTTACGTTTAATTTCCTTTAATGTTTGCCAACTAAAGGAACTTTATATATTCTTTGGCATTAAACTGGAACACAAAACTTGATTCCTTTAAAGATCTTACGTTCAGTGGTGACGTGAATTTCTGACTTGGTACTTAAGCTGTTTTTAGAAAGTAGTCTGAAGATACCTGGTACAGTCAGGCTGAATTCATTTTGCTATCTCTTCCACGGAGCTTGGAAAACAGGCTGAAAAGGCAACTGCGAGAAGCGAGTCCAGCTCTGCATCCAGAACTGTGTGGCTTCACTGTCTGCCATTTGAGTGACACCAAAAGGAATCATTTTTTAAACCAGGACTGATGGAAACTCAAATCTCAGGCATAACGCACTTTATTTGCCTCACTGGACCCTTGTAAGGGAAGGATGGGAAATTCCCTGAGGAAGGCCTCTGTTCTGCAGAAGGCAGGTGGAGGAGTCTGCCTGGAGGTACCAAGGCCTGGAGTGCCATTCACAGACACAGCTGGCCCAGAGGTGTCACTGCAGACAGAGGCACTGGCTGTGAGGAAGCCTGTCTGTTGGACTGGGCTGGCCAAGGCTGGAACAAGCACTAGCAACACGTGTCCACACGTAAGCCTCTCTGATGCTTATTTGCCAGGCGACTGGAAGTGGCATGTGGGTGAGTCGATCCTAGCGCAGCACCTCTGTACACCCGCCAGTGCCCGTGGGCCTCCTCTCGTGGGGGTCTACTCCCCTGGGCTGTTGGGCCCACGAGCACAGGCAGCCCTGTGATGGGGACTCCGTCTGTGATGTGGGTGTTGAAGCCATGGTTTTCTACCTGTCCTGTGCAGCGAAGGCCAAGGAAGAATTGACATGCAGGACAGACCCTTGTGTGAGGGGCCACTGATGCAGACTCTTCCCACTCTAGAAAAGCTTTATTTTGTCTCTGACATCATCCCCTTCTAGCAGGAGTCACCAGAGTCCAGACCAGAATCTGGTGCCATCAACATGGCAAGAGGCACTTGTTCTGTGGGTGTGGAAGTTGCCCTTCTTCAGGTGCAGGGTGGTGGGGGTCCTGGAGGTAGCTCTCTGGCTTTACAAAGTGAATGGGCTGTTTCCCAAGCACTGTGACTTCGCCACCGAAGGGTGGTACCTGGTTTCATTGGCGAGTTTCCAGTATCTCTCCCGCAAAAGGAAGGCTGCACTCTTGGGCTGTCGCTGCCGGGTGAAGATGCCCTTTCTATTCCCCACTGGTCTCTGCGGTGCTAAAAAATAAGGCAGAAAGCACTTGAGGTAACTGACGGGACAACCTGGGAACCAAACTGCAATCAAGCCAGCCACAAAAATGGAGTGTCCGGAGTGGCGGTTTCTTGTTCTGAAGAGTATGGAGCAACACCTTCTAGACCAGAGCATTTAAACACCACTGCCCTCCCATACCACAGGTCTGTTGGGGGGATTTAAATATGGGTGCCCGG